CATCGATCATGCGATCGATGTTAGGCAAAGGGAAAGAATCCTTGGGACACGCTTTATTCAAGTCTTTATAGTCCACAGACATTCTTAATTTGTTCCCCTTTTTGGGGACTACTACTACGTTTGCTAACCAGTCCCGGTATTTAACCTCCCGGATGGACCCTATTTTAAGGAGTTTAGATACTTCGTCCTTGATGAAAACATGTTTGACCTCGGACTGGGGTCTCCTCTTCTGCTTGACCGGGTGGAACTTCGGGTCCAGACTTAGCTTGTGAGTGGTTATTTTTGGCGGGATCCCTGTCATATCAAGGTGGGACCAAGCAAAACAACCTTCGTTAGCTATAAGAAATTGAATGAGTCTTTTCTTGAGCTAGGGATTCAACCTCGTGCCTAGGTATACTTTTCGGTCGGGAAAGGGTTCGATCAGTACGACTTGCTCCAGTTCCTCGAACGTTGATTTTGTAGCGTCGGAATCGTCGGGAGATATGAAAGACCTGGGAACCCTGTAGTCGTCGTCCTCATCCATCTCCTGCTTCTCCTATTGGGACAGAGTCAGTGTCAGTAGTTGCTATTTGGTTTCTCCATTGGTGACCGGACCCAGTTCCTTCGGTGTCGAAAGTGTGGATATAAGGACCACCTCGTCGACCGCGAACAACTCTTTTGGGGCCGGTTATTCTCCGTAAATTGTTTTTATTCCTCCCAGCGTCAGGAACTTCAACACCTGGTGCAGAGTCGAGGGTACCGCCCTCATGTTGTGAATCCATGGTCTTCCGAACAAAGCATTATACCTCACCCCTTCGATCACATAGAACTTTGTTTCTTGAACGGTCCCGACGGTGTTCACCGGTAATGTTATCTCCACTTTAGTGGCATATGCCATGTTGAACCCGTTTAGGACTCGGACTGCAGGCACGATCTGATCTTGTAGGCCGAGCTGTTCCACGACCCTTGATCTAATGATGTTGGCCGAGCTACCTGGATCAATTAACACACGCTTAACTTAAGATTTGTTTATAAGTACTAATATTACCAGTGTATCATTGTGGGGCTGCACGATGCCCTCAGTGTCATTGTTGTTGAAGGACAAGGTTCCCTCTGGCATATAATCCCGAGTCCGTTTTCCCTTGTGATAAATACTTTGGTGCACTTCAGCATCGGCCTCTGGGGAACGTCGACCCTACCGATGATCATGTTAATGACATGTTAAGGTTCCTCCTGCTCGATCCGTTTACTAGAATCTCTGTTTCTGAAGTGGTTTTTGGCTCGATTGCTCATGAACTCTCGGAGGTGTCCGTTGTTGAATAGCCGGGCTACCTCATCTCTCAATTATCGGCAATCTTCTGTTCTGTGGCCGTGAGTGCCATGATATTTTCACATCAAGTTAGTATTCCTTTGGGATGGATCGGACTGTAGAGGTCGAGGCCATTTGGTGTCTTTGATGTGCCCAATGGCGGATATGATGGTTGTGGCGTCGACGTTAAAGTTTTACTCCAATAGCTTTGCCGCCTCCTTATGCCCGATGGGCCTGTCGAAATGGTTTTTGCTCATGAGTCCCCGATTGCTTTGACCCCGATCACTCATTTTTCACTTTTCATGGGGTTTCGCCCAGATCCGCTACCACTTCGGTCGTCGTTGTATGGCTGATATCGATCCCTGTTTGACCTTGGTTCATGATCAACGTCTCTCCTGATTTTGTCGACGGCTCTGATGGGGTAAATGGACCCGGAAGGGCCCCGAGTTGATCTTCTTCGACCCTGATTTTTGATTGATACCAATTATACACATCGACCCAAGTGACAGCCGGGTACTCCACCATATTTTGTTTCAACTTCTGTGAAGCCAAAAGGTTTTTGAACAAACTTCTTAGAATCTAGACCCTTCAATATCGAAGGTGCTCCTGGGATTTGGTCGACCCTGGAGTTGTAGGTTTCCATCTTTTTGTCATTGGCTTCAATTTTCTTCTCCTCCGATTCTATCTGTTTTGTTAATTCCTCGAGCATCTTTATGATCCCGGGGTTGGTCCCCGATTCATTTTCATTCTGCCTCTCTGTGGTCGGTTTATTTCTGCGAGTGACTTCCCGGGATGGCTCGGGCTCAACCCTGCTCGGCGCTCGGCTTTGGTTCTGCAACTAGGCTATCGCTGCTTGTTGAGCCTGTAACATTTCGAAGATTACCGCAAATTGATCCCATCATTTTCACTGCTGTGCATATTCTGGGCAATCGATTGGAGTTCTCTGTGCAGGCTGTTCTCAGGATTGGTAGGCAAATTTGTGTTGATGGCCACATGTGAACGGGCGTCGATAGGGTCCACGACTAGAACTCCGCCGAGGTCAACTAGGGGCACCTCGTTACTGGGTGCTACATTGTTGTTCTCGTCATTGTGGCTGAACTCGGCGTCCATGTTTAGAGGGGCAGACTCGGGGTTTGACATTTCGATTTTTAAGCTGAAATTAAAGACACTTCAAAGAACAAGTGTAAAATAGTGTGTGTTATATGGATTTGCATCAAATTGCCGCTATTATCCTTAGCCCCACGGTGGGCGCCAAACTGTTTACCCTCAAAATCGGATAACAATCAAATTTGTAACTCTTTTTAAGGATACGCGGATTAACTTGATACAAAGCGATAAATTAAGTTGCTATTGAATAACCAAAGACAAAATAAATTCAAACCACACTTGTTGGATAGTTTCAGCCTTGATGAAATAGCCACTCTTGAACCGAGCTCACCAAGACCAGTATAAATGAAAAAGAACAAGAGCTGGAGACAAATAAAATAATAATATAATTACTTTTGATTGCGTGTTACAATGTCTTTTATGAATTATCAGACCCCCTTTATATAGTAGGGGAGTTCTATTTTAGGTACAACTCTGTAAAAAGGTAAAAATCTTCTGATTCACTGATTGTCGGTTCCTTATCGATACGTGCCGAGATCTCCGCCGTAATATTCGGTCGATCACGGATATTTCGGCCTTCTGTTGGCTATGTTGGATTGTCTGACAATGTTTTTCGAAGTCGTTTGAGGCTAGGAGCGATTCTGGGATCATGGCCTCGATATTCTCAAAGACAGGTGTCATACCCCCGGGTTCTGGCCCGGTGGGACTTTGACTAGATTTCGGTCCCTTGTTGCCATGGCACGAGCCTGGCTTATTTTGTCGGAGGCTATAATGCATCATGGGCTCGATTTCACCCGTATACAACCATAATAATGATCTATGTGGACCACTAAATATCATGGGGTCAACATTATAATAGTCTAATATTTGGGGACTAAAGGAAGAACTGATCCAAAGTAGATAGTGATCCGATGTGGATAGTTATCATCAAGAAATATTTACCCTGAAGGCTGGAATAATACTTAATACTAGGGGTGTCAATGGTTCGGTTCGGCCGGTTATTTTATAAAATTTGTACCATACCAATTTTTCGGTTATTCTATTATGTATAACCAAAATTAGACTTTTCGAAACCGTCCCAATCATGTCGGGTTTTCTTCGGTATCGGTACGGTTCAGTTAATTTTTAATATTTTTTTAAATATCATGTAAAATTCACTAGTAGAAGTAGAATGCAATAACATACGTTCTTTTATAGGATTTAGCAAAACTCTCTAAACATTTTTACTGTTTAAAGAGTGATGAATTAGAAAAAATGAAATATGGCTAGAGTATAGATCCATCAACTATTGTACAACAATATAAAAGAAACCAAGCAAAGGCAAAGAAAATATAAATCACACGAGTGAAAAGTTATTAACCAAGTTGATACTCAAGAATAAAGTCTATAGAAGATTAGATATTCATAAAGATAAATCTAAATTATATTAAAGAAAATATATTCAATACATTGTAGTTTGCTACTCATAATCGCTAGAATACTTTGTGTCTTGCTAATGAAGATACTTGAAATAACTTAGTTTAAGTAGAAGTAGCATGATAGGTTTTAGGAATTAGTATTTTGAGTTTAATTACTTGTTGGCTTGTAACAATTTTCATAACTCTAAGGCCCAAAGAAAAATTCAATGCATTATTATTTTTAAACTTACTATATAAATATATTTTTCACATGTATAATTTATTCGGTTCGGTTCGGTATTTTTTTAATTTATTTTTATAAAAAAAAACTATCCTAATTATCAGTGCGATTATAGATTTATATAAAAACTTACGGTTTCTTTAAAAGAAACCCAAAAATCGGTTCGGTTCGGTTCGTTAAGTCGGTTTCCGAATATCCATTGACACCCCTACTCAATACCCAAGCTATCTCTGGGATAAAACTTCACTACATGTTTTTCCCAATCATATCGTACTGTTATTTAGGTGGAAAAAAAAATCTATCCCCAATTAGTCATCGAAGGTACTAGAACAACAATTACGCTTCAGTACCAAACAAGTTAGAATTGATTATGAATTCTCATCCCTTTCATTTAGCCCAACTCATTTCATCATTATTAAAGATATTGTTGTTGCATTATAGAAGTAATGATAAAATCACATTTATAAAAGAATTTAGTAAGTTCATATCATCAACATTAAAAATATTGTTGTTACATTATAAGAGTAATGATAAAATCACATTTATAAAAAAATTTAGTAAGTTTTTTTGGAAAATTCTTAGGAAAACTCGCAGCCGCTATCCTTTTAGTGTGCACTGGATAATCTGTTCATTGTGAAATATGTCGCAAATTAAACAAGAGATATAAATCGTACTACGCAAATTTGGTACGACAAGCTCTAACCGAGAAAGTCGTTGGTGAGTAGAATCAATCCCGGATCTCCCGTGTGATAAATTAGTCACCCACCCAACTTAGGCAACGCTCGAAGGCAAAAAAAAATCTACAATTATCAGTACACGAGGACCTTCCTTTCCAATATTCACGAATTAAGAGATCAATTTGGCAATCTACCGAATACATTTTGAAATACGTCTGTTCGGTTACACTTTTACAGATATCCCAGTTCAAACAGTTTTTGAAAAAAAAAAAAAAAAAAAACGTCCAGGAAGAAAAAGGGGGAATCCTATCCGATGCCAAAGGGTTAAGCCGTCAATTGTTGTCAGCTTGTCCCTCCGTCTCTTTCCCTTTTCTCTCTGTGGCTTTCAAATTTCAACCATTATTTTTCACGAGGGGGAAAGATAATTTATAGCAATTTGTTCCTCCCATTTTTATATGAAACTTTTGCAATATCTCCTATTTGATGTCCCGTTTTCTGGATTAAAATACGACACATCATTCCAAAATTACTAATAAAGAGAAAGGTTGCTTTATTCTTAAGTAGGAGAGGCAAAGAACTTTTGGCAAACCATATGGAGGATGATAAAAAGACCACCTACAAGGTGCTCTTCCTTGGAATCTATTTTACTTCCTTTTCCTGTCTCTTCATTTGCATTTTAGTTCACATTTCTCCCCTTCATTTTTCCTATTTGTTGAGCAAAATGGTTCTAGATTTATAGTCGTCGCATTCTAGGTCTGTTTATAAGAATAAGAATACAAATTGCATCATAATTGCTAATAAAGTTGTCATCTTTTAGAACTGATCCATTTCCTTCAGACTGCTGCAGAAAAAAGAAGCAACAAAATGCTTTGACCTCTACTTAAGCCCCATGGTTTCAATTTTAACTTTGTTCCTTGTGGAATATCTTGGGTTTGCTATACTCTTTTAATTGAAAAAGAAAAAAAATCGTGTTAATTCTTGTTTTTTTTTTTGGGGGGGGGGGGTTGATAATTCTTGGTAAAAGGTTAACTCTTTACCTTCCCTCAACTAGAAAAAGGAAATTCTTTGGTACTATTCATGTAAAAAGGTTTCCCTCTGTAGAATCATTGCCCAGTTTAATTAGTGGGTAACATTTTTGTAGAATTGGGATTTTTGTGTTCATCCTTTTGGCATATAGGAGCTAGTCTGTCTTTTCGGTTGTAAGGAAATTCTTTTCATTACAATACTTTCTTTTAGCTGTAAAGTATTATAGATTGTAATTTGGTTTCCTAATCTTCATGATCTCATGACAAAATTTCTTTTGATTGCTTAAGGATTATTACAAGGTTCTTGAAGTAGAATATGATGCATCCGATGAGACGATCAGATTAAACTATAGAAAACTTGCACTGGTTAGTCATCCATATTTCATCGAGCAGCACCTGCTACAGCTCCTCTATGTTTGAGTTCTCTCTCTGTCTCTTCATCTCTTTCTTTGCGCACGCATGCATTTATTTGAAGCAGTGTGTTCCTGACTGCAGTCATATCATTCACATTGATTGACATGCGCAGAAGTGGCATCCTGACAAACACAAGTGTAATGATGCAGTAACCGCTAAATTTCAAGAGATTAATGAAGCTTATACGGGTAGTTATTTTGGTTTTGGGCATAATATTTTCGTATATATTTCATGCTACTTGATGCAGATAATTGCTATTTATCCTGCATGATTTAGCTTGAACGTAATCTAATCTCTCTACATTTTTACCACTTATACCAAGTGACGTTTTATTATGCTTAAATATCAAGAGAACAACAGTTTATATGCTGGTTGAAAGTAGCTCCATATTAAATGTATTGCCAGCATCAAATTCTCCCAACAATTTTTTCACGGTCTGTTGCTTAGTGTCGATCCTGAAATCCTATCTTCTTACCTATTTTACCATCAGAAGCTTATTAGTTTTGGAGGCTTACTTCCTTTCTTTATGCTCGTTGCACACAGTTTTTTGAAATTCTTTACCAAGAAAGAATTCTGGAGCCCTACATCAAATGTATAGTTGACGGGTAAAGATTTGTTCACTGCTTACATCATGCAGTCACTAATTGCTACCAATTTACATTCATTGCAGTGCTAAGTGATCCTGATAAGAGACTTGATTATGATTTAAACGGAAACTATGAGATAAATGATTATACCTTGCCAGTAAGGACTTTCATGCTTCCATCTTGTTAATTTCCCTTGTTGAGTTCTGATGCTTTGGCATTGCATTCTGACTACTTGGTGTTCTGATACAGGAATATCTATCCAGATTCAAAGGGATGATACTTACCTCTAATGGGCTTGGTATGAGTTCAGTCTGGTGAGTGTTTGGTTCAGATTACTAATTGGAATTATTCAATTGGCTTTAAAAATCTGACCCTGAAGGAAAAGAAACTTAGTGTGGTTTTTAAAGGACATTATTCTGTCATTTTGTGACTAATTTTTTCTTCCCTTATAAAGAAGCAATATGAATTTCTTTAGGGGGGCTGGATTAGATGAATTTTCTTCAGTGTTGAATTTAGAAGTTTTCTTCAATTAATGTATGGTATGATGCTATCAATTTTCATATGGCGTTAAGGTGTTGTAGCATGTCCAAAAATTCTCTCCTAGGTTTTGTGAAGATTCGGAAGGTGTAGAAAGAGTCAGACGCATGATTAGACACACGTTTTCCTCGTCTTTCTATGTGTATGTGAAACAGAATTACCAGCACGGAAGAGAAGTCATCCATATAGAAGACCACATTCTCTCTGACTTATTAGATTTGTCTGTTTGTCTTGTCTTTAACAGCATCATAGTGTTTCTAAATAGGAATTTGGAAAGAGTTAGCGAGGACTATTTAACAAAAACTTGAGCATTTGACTGACTTCTGATGCTCTTTTGTTTGGTTCAAAGTTGCTAGCTTATTTGGATTTCTGAAAAGATTGTATATTTTACTGTACACTTAGAAATACTAGATAATTGATCAGTGTTCTGCTTAAGACAACTTCTAATAAAACCTAAATTCATTGTTGATTCATGATGTAGCATCATCTCCAGCGGCAACTTTGCTGTTGATCTGCTAATGCTTTTAAACAGAGAACAAATTCTATATCTTTTAGTACTTTCACGTCAACATTCTAATAGCAAAATCCTTTAGTACTTTAATGTCGTCTAATAGCGAATCAATCATGCAGGTCAGAGCAATTAACAGAATTTAACAAGTTGATGGACAAATGAAAGAAGGTGATCATTTTTTTCTCTTCACATCCATTGTCTTTCCTATAGTACCTCGCTTACCCCCACGGATGTTAATGGTTGTAACATTGTGTTATTGACGAGATTTTATGTACTAAAGTTGAATATTCATAATCTCGCACAAAGGTTTTCCAGGGCAACCATGCTTGTATGTAACTGACAGGATATCTGTACTCAGAAACTTTTACAGTTATCATGATTTGGTATTTACTGGATGCCCTTTAGACTTCTTGTAAAATGTAGATTCTGTAACAAGTGTATTGGAAGATCCGAAGATAGGATTGCGACCTTCTTCCCTTCCTCAAGGTTGTATCAATTCACATGGTTATATATTGATGCTGACTGAACTTACAGATTGACAAAATTTGATGTCAGAAGCTAAGTTCTTACTATATATTTGTCGCAGTATTCTTCCTTTGTCACAAATAAAAATATGCATTATTTAATTGGATTTTACTCCGTTTTCTCCCTTTTGACCTGCAGACAATTACTAGTACTAGTAATAAGACAACAAATTACAAAATTGTTTGATGTTTTGCTTACAAATGGATAACTACTGTATGTACTTTCTGTCCTTGCTCTTAGTTTTATGGACATAAGTTTGGTTGAAATTTAAAAAAAATGAGGTTTTGAAGTTGAGTTGAAAAATAATTTTTGGAAGTTGAAATTGTGTTTGGGCATGTGCTTTACTTGAAAAAGGTTGGAAGTTTTAGTAGAAGAAGAATTTTCTCTCAAAAATTGGTTTGTCAAAACTGATCAAATTTCAAGAACAAACAATGCTTTTAATTTATTTTTTTTTTTGAAAAAAAAAGGAGTCAAATTTTATGTCCAATCGGATCCTTAATGTTCTTTCGAGTCATCACTTTAATTGCTGACCAGACTTTGAGTGTTGTATAGTAAACTATAACCTCTACGTCACGTTGATTTAATGTAAAACTTCAGTTGCAGTGCAACAATAGCTACTTTAAAGATTGTTGTTTAAAATATATTCACAATTTATAATTAATTTAAAGATTAGTCGATTTGAAAGTCTGATTTACTAATCTAAAATTCAGGACATAAGATTCGATCTTCTGGACACACTTTTCAAACTTTAGGACACGATGTCCTAAAGTTTGAATTTTGAGGTTTAAACTCTAGAACTTAAGGACTAAGCGTCCTGAATTTTTGAGCTGTTAATTTGTAATTCAGGACTAAGTGTCATGAATTTCTGAACTATTAATTTAAAATTCAGGACATAAAATTCAAACTTTTAGACACAATTTTTCGAACTTTAGAACACAATGTCCTGAATTTTAAATTTTGAGGTTTAAACTCTAGGACGCCGTGTCCTCAAAACTTAAACAAAATTGATTAATCTTTAAATACATTGTAAACTGTGGATATATTTTAAACAGCATACTTAAAAGTGGCTACTTGGTGTCATTTCCACTAAAACTTCTTAAATTTAGTTACAATCCCCCTGGTATATTAAGTTGGACTACCATTATTTTAACGGCAAAGGGTCAAATATACCCCTTTACTTTTGAAAATGGTCTAAGAATACCCATCATTATACTATTGGGTTATCTATACTCCTGCAGTCATACTTTGGGTTCAAATATACCCCTCATTTAAACGGAGGGACACGTGTCATCGTCCTGTTGGTCAATTCTAAATATCTCCTAATTAATTAAAAAGACTTATTACCCATACCCAAAAAATAATTTTTTTTGTAAAAAATGGAAAAACTAAATTCTTTTTTTACTAAAAACTGAAAAAAAACGAAAATATTTTTTTTACCAGTTTTTACAAAAAAACTGATTTAAAAAAACTGAAAAATATTTTCTAAAACAATATTATTTGTAAAAACTGAAAAGCAATTTTCTAAAGCAATTAATAACTGGAAAAAACTGAAATATTTTTAACTAAAAACTGAAAGAAAAGAAAATATTTATTTTTTTAATTTTTACAAAAATATTGCTTTAGAAAATTGCTTTTTAGTTTTTTTTTTTCAGTTTTTACAAAAATATTGTTTTAGAAAATATTTTTCAGCTTTTTTTAAAGCAATTTTTTGGTAAAAACTGGAAACAAAAATATTTTTCGTTTTCTTCAGTTTTTAGTAAAAAAAAATTCAGTTTTTTTCCAGTTTTTACAAAAAAAATTGCTTTAGAAAATTGATTTTCAGTTTCTTTTTTTCAGTTTTAATAAAAACATTATTTTAGAAAATAGTTTTCAGTTTTTTTAAAGCAGTTTTTTTTGTAAAAACTGAAAAAAAAATATTTTTGTTTTTTTCAGTTTTTTGTAAATTTGTTTTTTTAGTTTTTTTCAGTTTTTACAAAAAAAAAATTATTTTTCGGGTTTGGGAATGAGTATTTTTAATTAATTAGGAGATATTTAGAATTGACCAACAAGACGATGACATGTGTCCCTCTGTTTAAATGAGGGGTATATTTGAACCCAAAGTATGATTGCAGGGGTATAGATAACCCAATAGTATAACAAGGGGTATTCTTAGACCATTTTAGAAAGTAGAGGGATATATTTGACCATTTGCCGTTATTTTAATATAAACTCAACGGTAGGTAAAATTTTTGTAGTTGCAAAATTTGACCTAAGATTTTCCTTTAGTTTCTTTAATTTTCCTTTAGTTTCTTTAATCACTATCCCTCTTACCTCTTCAAGGCATCGACCTATTAAGGGCAGCTTGGTTATTAATAAATTAAAATAGTTTCTACCTAGTTAAGCATTAGTAATACAGGTTGTTTAAAATGAAGCCACATAAATAGTGAAAATTCATATACGCGATTTTAGTATTTGAGAGTGCGACTTTACTTGGCAGTGACGTAAAATGCGCGGATTCCATCATTGTATTGTCTCTTCCATGCTTGTTTTGTTTGAACCAAATAAACTATTCCCATTATTACTACTACTAATAAAATAAAATACACACAGTCACCCAAAGTTTCATCATCAGATCAGTTAATTAAGGGTCAAGTCTAAACTAAAATGTATCTTAAGAAATATATTTATTGATCTTTTGCTACAATCTGATTCTTCTTGAATCTTTTCCACTGTATGTGAGGCCACTATTCTTTTAATATTAATGTAATTAATTATCAGTATAAGAAGGTTTATTTGTACGAGTTGGTGCCTGTTGAATTTTGCCCCTCTTGTGCACGCAAATATGTCATACTCATAATTACTTACATAAATAGTTAAAGAATAGTGATGTTGATGTACTAACAAAAAAAGAATCAGAGAGTCAGTAAACCACAGAAGGAAAAAAAATACCACCACCACCGTGAGTGGACCGGAGTGAGTGTATAACCATATGTTGAAAAACACTATGAAACATGTACTAATACATGTATTATTTCCCCTAATATATCCTGCCAGGTGACACAGTTTTATTATGACCTATCCTACAATATCTCCTGAAAATTCATATAACCATTTCCAATTTATTGAATTTGAGATGCAGATGATTAACCATTATAAAAAATCATAAAATAGTGCTGGTAAATTGTCGCTCCATATGCAACAAACGGATTCATGGTTCAATTAACTCAAATCATTTGCACAGCACAGAGACAGAAGAGGATTCTGTCACATCTTTAGCATCAACATCTATTGATCTAACAATTATTAGCAGCAGCAATAACAGCACATAAAACAAGATTAACCCTTATCAGTTCCTAATTAAAACAAAAACCTAATACTAATACATGTTTTAATGATTAACAACATTAATAGGAACTGAAGCAGCAGGAAGATGTTTGTTGCAATAACACGAAGAAGGATTTTCCTGTTGATCTGAAGAAATAAAACGCCCAATCTGCTCCAAAAATGTCAAATGTTGAGGCCTATCTTTACGTTTCACGTACCCTTTTGCCTCTTTCTCAGAATAACAACTGTAACCCTTTTCCCCATTCCTCTTCCACAACGCCTCCGCGTAATTTCTGTGTGCATAATACGCTTCCGCCATCGTTACCTCGGGCTGGGCCTGGGCCTGTGGTTGGACTTTGATGGGTAGCCTCTCGTAATGGGCCCGAGTAATTCCTTCCAATTCGTCCATTCGAATCAACCCACGCGCCGAAACAGCGTACAGCTCACCCCACACGCGCTCGCCGGAGCACGGGAAATTGAGGAGGAAAGGTACCCTGTAGGGCCCACAAACAAGGGGAAGTCGATCGGCGGTTTGGTAAACGCCGAGAAAAGAAGCGTCGCCGGCGGCTATCATGTCCTGTAACAGCACGTGATTTGAAAATCCCCTTTTTAGTGTTCCGTAGGTGAAGATGATGGTCTTTTTCTCTGCCTTTTCAGCCCCCATTGTTTCTATAAAATCACGAAAATACCAAAAAAAACTGAAGACAAAAGAGGAGAGAAAGAGAAACAGAGGAATATGAAGAGGAAACTGAGGAGTGTTTGGTTTGTAGAGAATAAAAAGAGCAGAAAAAAGGGCCCCACCAAAAGTAAAAAAGGGTTTTTATATAAATGTGCAGAATAAAACAAACAAAATTGGGAATCCTTAGAATTTCTCACCATCAATAGTGACCACCCAAATGAATATGAAGATAGAAAATTTGGATGGTTGTGAAGGAGTAATGGTGACTGGTGGTGATAAAGACCAATGCATTGAATATTTTGAGGAAATACATTGGGAGGTNAAAAAAAAAAAAAAAAAAAAAAAAACTGAAGACAAAAGAGGAGAGAAAGAGAAACAGAGGAATATGAAGAGGAAACTGAGGAGAAGAGATTGTTTCGTTTGAGAGAATAAAAAGAGCAGAAAAAAGGGCCCCACCAAAAGTAAAAAAGGTTTTTTTTTTAAAAATATAAATGTGAGGAATAAAACAAACAAAATTGGGAATCCCTGAATTTCTCACCATCAATAGTGACCACACATGTTATGAATGTGAAGATAGAAAATTTGGATGGTTGTGAAAGAGTGATGGACTGGTGGTGATAAATACTATAGCATTGAATATTTTGAGGAAATACATTGGGAGGTGGAGGAGAGTCCTAAGAATATCAAATTCTAGACCATCCATGTTATTTTAAATTATTGGACTTGAATTTTTGTTCACTAATTATAATTAAATAACATGTTGTGTTACAATAAAAATATTAGGTGATTTCTTAAGACATTAGTTGACAGAGTAATCTAATGTTGGTGTTGAGAGAAAGTATCGAATAGCGAGGTAACTTATGGAATTAGACGAAATGTGCGAGGTGGCTCTACCATCACAATTATAAAAAGATGAAGTTAAATGATGTGTTGCAATTTTATCTTTTTGAAAAGATGATTACTTCATTGGCTATTTCGTGACTAACAGATGTGAAATCAATGTAATTGTATTTTATTTTA